GCAGGAATTTGAGATAGGTCATGAATATTGGGTATTAAGATTGTTTTAATAGTGGGTAAGGATTTTACAAGAAATCGGATCGCGTCCATTAAAGATTTGACTACTTCAAGTGGGTCTGCAGACATATCGGGGCAGAAAAAATAATCGTTTCCTGAGGCCCACACCTACATTACATATGGATGAACATTATTATATAAGATTTAACAAAATAGTAGTAGTTAAATAGGCAAAAAACAAAAAAAATACATACAGAAAACAAAGTTTTACTAAAATCTTTTTGTCTCATTGTGGATCTAGCATTATCATTAACAAACTTTTCAATTTGTTGTCTGATTCCGGGTACTTTGAACTCAGACCGAGGACCGGTAAGTCCTTGGATAAAGTCGCTACTGTTAAATTAAGAGATAAAAAAATGAATTAGTATAAAATTAACGTTTAATAAAAACAAATTAACATTATTTAAGGTTATTTACTTTGAGGTAGCGCCGCCAAAAGCGTAATTTGTTAATTTGATATTTAGCAGCTCAGCAAGATATTCACACAAAACTTTGCCATTTGTGAAGTGACCTTTATAATTTGCAGGTGTTGGCCATGTTTTATTTGTCAAGTTGTAACTATTTTTTCCGTTATCTTATTAAAGAAAAAGAAAATTAATGGTAAAATTAAAATTTGCAGTGATACTATTAACCGATTAATGGTAATGTATTGATATCATACCAGAAAAAGAATCGCCGAAGGCGACATATTTAGTAAATCTTTTGCGTGACTTTACAGAAATAAATTTGGATATAGAGAAATTTTTGGAAGAAGAGGAAGCGATGATTTGCTCTGATTGTTCTGATTGCTCTGATGTGGGTTGCTCTGGTTGCTCTGATTGCTCTGATGTGGGTTGCTCCGATTGCTCTGATGTGAGTTGCTCGGATGTAGATTTTTGCTTTGTTGATATAATAAATCTTTTACGTAACTTGAATTTGACAAATTTTTTGGAAGCAGAAGAGGTGGAAGTGTTTTGATCCGATATGGATTTCTTTTGCTTTGTTGAAATAATAAGTCTTTTGCGCAACTTGAATTTGAAAAAAATTTTGGAAGCAGAAGAGGCGGAGGTAGATTGATCCGATGTGGATTTCTGTTTTGTAGTAATAAACCTTTTGTATGAACTGATTTTGGAGAAAGTTTTTGAAGCAAAAGAGGTAGTTTTCTGTTCTGATGAGTTAGTTTTTTGGTCCGATGCGGTGGATTTTTGTTCTGCTGAGGTAGATTTCTGTTCTGA